ATGGACTCAAGTGGATTTGGTTTTTGGTTTTTTTCATCATTCAGTAATAGACACTGTTTGTGGTTTAACCTGACAGTTCAAGAATGAAGATTACTAGTTGCTAGCACAAGCGGTTAACAGTAATGGCTTTGCAAGTTTAATGAAAATCAATATCCTATCTTTATATCTAAAGATGTAACATTATGCTAAAGCATTTTATCAAGTTGCACTGACAATGGATTTTGAAAATCAAGTATACTGAGCAATTCTCTTTTACTGAAAGCCGTAACAGAAAATGAGCTCTAAATAACAAAGTTATCTTCACATTTGAGTACAGGCATAACTCATTTTATTTTACTTCACAACTACTGCTTTTTTTTTTTTTTCCTACAAACTGAAGGTTTGTGGCCAACCCAAGTTGAGCAAGTCTATTAGCACCATTTTTTCAACAGCATGTGTTCATTTCATGTCTCTGTCACATTCTGGTAATTCTCACAATATTTCAAATTTTTTCATAATTTTGTTGCACACTTGAGCTAGACTATGAAACCAAACTAACTCACTGCCATTAAGTCGACTTTAACTCATAGCAACCCTATAGGGCAGAGTAGAAATGCTCCATAGAGTTTTCAAGGCTGTAAATCTTTATAGAAGCAGACTGCCTCATCTTTCTCCAGTACGGTAGCTGGTGGGTTTGAATTGCTGACTTTTGGATTAGCAGCCCCATGCTTTAATCACAGAGCCACCACAGCTCCTGTTAATAAACTACAGTATAACGTAAACACAACTTTTATATGCACTGAGAAATCAAAAGAATCGTGTGACTTGTATTATGATATTCGCTTTATTGCAGTGGTTTGGAACTGAAACTGCAGTATCTCCAAGGTATGCCTCTATATGACCACAGAGACACAAACTTTGTACTAACAAAACATATAGAAAGAATTGTTTTCATTTAGTTGTCACTAAGTCATCCCCAAATCATGGCAACCCTATTGCAGAGTAGAAGTGCTCCTTAGGGTTCTCAAGGCTACGACCTTTCAGAAGTAGACTGCCAGGCCTGTCTTCCAAGGTGCCGCTGGGTGGGTTCAAACTACCAAACTCTCTAACAGTCAAGTGCTTAACTTTTTCTGCTACTCAGGCACTCCTTATAAAGAATAGTCCTGGACTTTTATGTGGGTCTTTTCCATTTAACAGTAACTCCCTATAATAAAATAATTTCTATTCCTTGTATCATTAACTATTGTTGTTGTTGTTGGGTGTCAATTCTGACTTATAGTGACCCTGTGTACAACAGAACAAAACACTGCCCAGACCTGTGCCATCCTCACAATCCTTGCTATGCTTAAGCCCATCTTGTTGCGGTTCTTCCCCTTCTTCTCTGACCCTCCACTGTACCAAGCATCATATCCTTGTTCAGGGAATGATTCCTTCCAACAACATGACCAAAGTAGGTGAGATAAAGTCTGGCCATTCTCACTTCCAAGGAGCATCCCAGATGCACCTCTTCCAGGACAGATTTGTTTGTTCTGGCAGTCCACGGTATTTTCAGTATTATTCGCCAACATCACAACTCAAAGGCATCAATTCTTCTCTGATTTTCTTTATTCATTTTCCAGTTTCCACATGCGTATGAGGCAACTGAAAATACCATGGCTTGGGTTAGACGCACCTTAGTCTTCTTCAAGGAGACATCTCTGCTCTTCAACACTTTAAAGAGGTCTTTTGCAGTAGATCTGCCCAGTTCAATATGATGTCTGATTTCTTTACTGCTGCTTCCATGGTGTTGATTGTGGATCCAAGTAAAATGCAATCTTTGACAACTTCAGTTTTTTCTCCATTTATCATGATGTTGTTTATTTGTCTACTTGTAAGGATTTTTGTTTTCTTTATGTTGAGGTGTAATCCATACTGAAGACTGTAGTAATCTTCATCAGTAAGCGTTTCAAGTCATCTTCACTTTCAGCAAGCAAGGTTGTGTCATCTGCATATCACAGACTGTTAACGAGTCTTCCTCCACTCCTGATCCTGTGTTCTTCTTCTTATAGTCTAGTTTCTTGGATTATTTGCTCAGAATAGATTCAATAACTATGGTGAAAGGATACAACCCTGATGTACACTCTTCCTGGTTTTAAACCCTGCAGCGTTCCTTTGTTCTGTTCAAACAACTGCCTCTTAGTCTATGTACAAGTTCCTCATGAGCACAATGAAGTATTCTGGAATTCCCATTCTTTGCAATGTTATCCATAATCTGTCATGATCCACCCAGTCAAATGCCTTTGCATAGTCAATAAAACACAGGTAAACATCTCTTGGTGTTCTTCGATTTCAGCCAAGATTCATTTGATATCAGCAATTATATGCCTCCTTCCACATCCTCTTCTGAATCCAGCTTAAATTTCTGGAAGTTCCTTGATTATATACTGCTGCAACTCTTTTTGAATTATCTTCAGCAAAATTTTACTTAACGTGTGATAGTAATGAGATTGTTCAATAATTTCCACATTCTGTTGGAATACCTTTCTTTGGAATGGGCACAAATATCAATTTCTTCCAGCCAGTTGTCCAGGTAGCTGTCCTCCAAATGTCCTAGCATTTACAAGTAAGTGCCTCCACTGCTGGATCCATTTGTTGAAACATCTCAATAGTTATTCCATGAATTCCTGAAGCCTTGTTTTTCATCAATAGTTATTCCATGAATTCCTGAAGCCTTGTTTTTCATCAATTCCTTCAGTGCAATCTGTACTTCTTCCTTCATTACCATTGGTTGTTGATTGTATGCTACCACCAGAAATGGCTGAACGCTGACCAGTTCTTTTTGGTACAGTAACTGTATATTCCTTCCATCTTCTTTTGATGCTTCCTGCATCATTCAACATTTTGCCCATAGAATCCTTCAATATTGCTAGTTGAGGCTTCAATTTTTTCTTCAGTTCTTTTAGCTTGAGAAATCCTCTAGTTGTGCTGTGGTTAAAGCATTGGGGCTGCTAACCAAAAGGTCAGCAACTGAACCCACCCAGCACTCCACAGGAGAAAGACAAGGCAGTCTGCTTCTGTAAAGATTTACAACCTTGGAAACCCTGTGGGGGTCACTCTGAATCAGAATCAAATCGATGGCAATGGGTATTGTTAACCAGGAAAATGAAAACAGAGCTAAGACATAGTTAGGCATTGTGTTCTTCTGTCTTATAATCAAAGGAAATTCATCCTTTAGTTCTTTCATATACACCTCTTCGACATTGCCAAATGCTTTGAAATACATCCTACAGAAGCTCGTTCCTTCAAGGTAAATACTCTGGAATGGGAATCAGGAGACAGGAGCTAAGACTCTACCAACAACTATATGAATTTGAACAGTTAACAAGCTCTCTGACCACAATTTCCTTGCCTGTAAAATCAAGCTGTTGGAGCAAATAATATCTAATACCCCTTTTCCACTCAAAGAAAAAACTATGAAAACCTAACTCTACTCCTAAACCATCAACAGCAGGAAAAAGTTGCAAACCAAGTCTGAAAGAAGCTTAGGTTTAACTACCTTCCTTCCTCTCTGATTTGATTGAATGTACTTACAAATTTCCTACAGCAGTTAGGTTGAGCAGTTTCATCCCTAGCAGTTAGACTGGGAAAGAGATAACAACAATATACCTTTAAAAACAATTTTATAACACAGAATTTCTAGGTCCAGAAGCAGTCTCTATAATAGAATTTTGCCTCTATCAAGAAATTAAACTGATACAAGGCTCCTTTGTGAATTTCAAAAGCTTCCTACATTCATATATTCAATTTCAGCCATGAATTTGTTCTGTGCATTGCAGACTGCTTGTCACTGATGTCTGTTTACAACGTTTTCCATCAGATCTGCATAGGAAATGAATTAAGTGTGATGTAAACAAGTATATGTCATTAATATACTCACCCAAAATTAATACTGAAGAACCCAAAATATAACAGGCATATGTTTTGAGGCTATACTGTAAATAAAGTAATGAATTGGGTATAAAGTAAATAACGAACGTTTTGCTGCTTTACATCTGCAATTTTAGGATTCAAAAAGGAAAAAATCATCACTACCTCAGCATAATTTGAACTTAAAATTATTAAAACTTAACTATGTGTTAAGCTAAAGGCCTCTTCTCAAGTACATCTATTGTTACTTTTTGTTTTTAGAATACTAGTAAACGAATTTCTACTATGTTCAAGCAGCACTGCTGTCTGGAAATTAACACTATCAGCTTTATTTATGCATAATAAAAGACGTTAAGTTGAAGCCAAAACGTTATTGTCTGAAAAACACGAGAAAATACTGAAGGCAGAACAACTAGCTCCACTTCTGCAAATTAAGCAAAACAGAATAGAAAGGAAGCAAGCAAAGGGAAGGAACTCAAGAGCTAGTTGCAGTACTGGTCCCTTGTATGTTCCAGGAGCTTTCCCTTGCGTAGAAGAGATGAGGGGAAAGGAGAGAAGGCATCACACAGAAGCCCAGAGTTACTCTTTTCATAACTTACAATATTCATTTAATTCTGTGTAAGACGTCCGGGAGATGTGGATTCTCAGTGAGACTGTCTGAAAAAAGGGAATAGCATCTGCTTTCTCAGTTTGTAGCCCTACGAACTGTACCCGAGAGTATCCAAAAACCCTTAGTTATCTCGCAGAGGTGTCTCGGAGAATCTTCCGGGCGCACACACCTGCAGGCCTGCGCAGCTGGCCCCTCTCGCTCTTCGCGCGTCCTCAGGGCTGGACTACAAGGTCCAGTGACCGACGCAGCGCGAGCCTAAGGGCCACTCAAGCTCTGGCAAGAGCCATCCAGCTCCGGGCGAGGCCGGAGCGCACGCTGCTTCTCCAAGCCACGCAGTGGTAGGAGCGCAAGCTAAACACCAGCACCACTGCGATGCGCATTTTAATATGACTTGGGGGAGCACGTCTACACTCTTGTGGACTCCAAGGCATAGCCCCCAGCGCCGCGCTCGGGAACAGCCAGCCCGTCCCGCCCCTCCTCGCGGCTGAGGGGCAGCGATGCGTACCTGTCCTCTGAGACGCTGATGACGCCCTCCTCCTTGGGCACGATCACGGCCATATTCACCACCTCCTGGGACCCTTCGACCCGCTGCAGCAGGATCGGCTTGCGGGTCAGTGCTTTGGGTTGGATCTCCGCCGCCATCGGAGGAGGGGGCGCGGCGAGGCAGGGCTGAAAAGACCGCTCGGGCACGAGCACAGGCTCTGGTTGGCCGGAGCGGGACACCGAGGACCGACGCACATAGCCTGGCCACCGCTCCCGGGAACGACTCAGCGCTCCCGGCTTCAGGCACCAAAACCGCCACGGCCGGAGGAACAAGCCCAGCGCCACAACCAGGGGAGGGGGTGGAGAGCCGGGAGGCGGGGCCGTCTGGGGGCGGGGCCTGCCGCAGGGGGTGGCCGCTGGTAGGCGCGAGGGCGGATTCACTTCCGGGAGGGTGGTGGAGAAGGAGGGGAAACTGAAGGAGGCGGGGTTTTGGTGGCTCAATGCGCGTGCGTCAGCAGACTAGCCCATTCCGCACCGCCCCTCCGCAACTCCAGGCGCCATACCGTTGGGACGCATGCGCTTTCCATCCCTTTAGGCTTTTATAGTTGCTGGCTACATACCCAAATCTTCGGAAGGAAGGTTGGGCAATGTACATCCGTAGTGATCCTGCCTGAGAAACCCAAAAAGGGCTCACTTTGAGCCGGTCCAATTCAATGGCACATAACAACAGCAACATACCCAATTCTTAGTCTCCTCCATGTTTAGCTTGTACGCATGCCTGGGAAGACGCTTGCCAGAGGTCCGCCTCTTCCGAATTTCCCGAGACCGGGGTGGAAGTGGGTCTGGGGAAAGCGCGCCTCGGCGAGGCCTGAAAGAGCCTGCAGGAAGGACAAGCTGAAGTAGTTGAAGTGACTGGGCACAAGCACGGTATACCTGGCCTTTGCGGTCTCAGCTATGAAACCTGTGGTGGGCAGCTGTTGTTGTTGTTGTTATTTGCCGTCGAGTCGGCCCCGACTCATAGCGACCCCTCCTTGGGTTTCCGAGGCAGTATCACTACGGAAGTAGGATTGCCCAACCTTCCTTCCGAGGAGTGGCTGGTGGGCAGCTACTGCTCCCAAAATGCACCAGGCCCAGGCCACCACCCCGTGGGCTCCTAGCAGCTGTAGTTTCTCCGAGCCTGCGTTCCCTAGTTCTGGAATGATCTATTGTTTGTTCACTTCTCAGCTCTCCGAACTTGGGGAGCGACAAAAGGACCTTTGGCCAATTTGGGATTCGGCCTGACTTGGCGGGGAACTGAGAGGCAGCCCCTGGCTGAGCAGGCTGTCACCATGCCCGTGGTTCAGGTAGCTGCCCACAATAGCGGTGCACCTGGAGCAAGAAAGGTTGAAAAACATCCTAGAGATTAGAGATCATTGGTAGTGTCAAGTCTCTCCTTGTTTTCTTAAAGGACTAATTTACTAGCCCAAGGTCATCCGGGCAATTACTCTTGAACCCAGGTCTCCATTCTCCTAGTGCGGAATTCTTTCCATTCCCGAGCAACCTAACCTTATTAGCTTACTCCAAAGAGAAAAAGAGTTATTGTGATACAATGATGGAGTGACTATTTGTTGTTACGTGCCATGAAGTGGGACCTGACTCATAGCGAGCCCCCATTGGGTTTCTGAGGCGGTATCACGACAGAAGTAGATTGCCCAGCCTTCCTTCCAAGGAGTGGCTGGTGGGTTTGAACGGCCAGCCTTCTGGTTAGCAGTCAAGTGCCTTAGGCACTACGCTATCAGAGCTCCTGAGTGAATATTAGGTACTAATATTTCCAGGGGAGCTCTGGTAGCATAATGGCTAAAGCACTTGACTGCTAACCAGAAGGCTGGTGGTTCAAACCCACCAGCCACTCCTCGGAAGGAAGGTTGGGCAATCCTACTTCCGTAGTGATACTGCCTCGGAAACCCAAGGAGGGGTCGCTATGAGTCGGGGCCGACTCGACGGCACATAACAACAACAACAACAACATTTCCAGAGCTAACAGGCTAGCAGGAGAATGGTCAGGGGCTATGTGGTGGGATTGCGATGGCAGGGCTCTGGAGGTCACAGTGTGTTAATACCAGAGCTGGCCAAGGAGTAGGACCGTCCTTTGGAAATGCGTTTCCAAGGCAGGTTTTTGGCAGCCAAAGAGTATGGTACCAATGACCTGTCTCAACACCTCCTATCTTTGCAGAGATGCTGTTTTGAGCTTGAAAGGAGGGTCCAGGTATTTTTCAGCTGTTGTACCCGCGGAAAAGTATTCCACGCCCTGAGCCTCATGTTCCCCATCTACTCAATAGGGGTGATAACACTGTCCTTGCAGGTTGTGAGACTTACAAATGACATATTATTTAAGTGCCTTAATGTACAATTGATCCTGTTATAGTTATGAGTGGGACACCTTTCCTGGGGGAAGCATCTTCTCATTCTCTTATAGGTACAGAGGAAGTGGTAATGGCTGCTCCACCCCAGGCCTTGTAGGAATTAGAACCAGGGTAGAATCACCACCACAACCCTGAGTCTGGCCTTCAATTCTGCAGAGCCAGAATCTCTTATCTTGCCATTCATTCAAGAAACATTTAGTAACTAAAGTAACTCAGTGTAAACTAAAGAGTAAACTCAATAAACTAAAGTAACTCAGTGCTAGGCAGTGGGACAAAATTTGAACAGACCTCTCAATTCTCAAGGATCTCACAGATCACTAGAGTAGATAATAGGCAATGGTAGCTGCAGTGATGATGTCAAGAGTTGTGGTGGGGGAACACAGGGCCCAAGGGAATGGAGAAGGACCTGGAAAGGAGGCAGGGAGGAGATTGTGCAGGAAAAGTTGCTCAGAGAAGGCATGACCTAAATAAAGTTTTGAAGTGTAATCAGGAATAAGCAAGTTGCATTGTTCCTGATTTAAGCTGCATTGTTTTTGGTTTAAGTTACATTGGTTTGAAGAGATGGAGGAGGTGAGTAAAGGGCCTGGAGGCAAGCACAACATGGTTGTTAGGGAATTAAAAGAACTTTAACACAGCTGGAGCATAACACAGAGGCTTACATCAGAGGGAGGTAAAGATGAGGATGTCACAGGACCCAGGAATGGAGCCATGGCCTGATGCACCTTGTCCTTGTTAGAAAGGGGTGCTCTTCATCCACTTCATCCTCTGGTGGGATGGCCCTCAAATAAACAATCATTTACAATATAATCTCACTCACTGCTGTGGAGTCAGATCCGACTCATAGCAACCCCTCTTTGGGTTTCCAAGGCGGTATCACTACGGAAGTAAATGGCTCAACCTTCCTTCCAAGGAGAGGCTGGTGGGTTTGAACCACTAGTCTTCTAGTTAGCAGTCAGATGCCTTAGGCACTATGCCACCAGAGCTCCCACAATACAATCTGGCAGTTGGTATGGTGAAGGTACTTGTCTTAATTCTCTAGTGCTGAAATACCACAAGTGGATGGCTTTAACAAACAGAAATTTATTCTCTTACAATTGAGACTAGAAGTCCCAAATTCAGAGTGCCCACTCTAAGGGCTGGGTGCTCAACTTTGAGCTTAAGCTCTGCCTCTTATTCCAGGCCCACTTGAGCTGGAGGCATCTCCTATCTCAAGCAGCTTCTGGCTGCTAAGGCTGACAAATCCAAAGTCAGCATGTAAAATGGCACAATCCCAAGATCGGCAGACAACATAACAGACCACTGGTTCAAGTCTAGGAATAATTCCAGGATCAGCAGGCACCACAGTAGGCCACTGGATGAAGACTCAGCCAAATGCAGGACCTAACATGCCAAAAAGCTAGAAACCTTTCCCAAAGTTTTTCCTTATTTACTGGAAGCAGGCCACACCCCAAAGACAGCTGCCTACCTGCTCACAGCATATTGCACTATGGAGGTGATTACAAGCTCATCATGGGGAATAATTACATCTAGGTGCCCAGCCACTGAAAACCATGGTACAACTGAGTTGATGTACCCCCTTAACTACCACAGTACTGTAAAGTGCAGTGAGACTCAGAGACCCTCTCCTGAGTCTGCCTGGGAAGTTGGAGAAGGTTTTCTGGAAGAAAACAAGCTCATGTAGAGTATGAAAGTGTTAAGTCTAGGTGAAAGGAAAAGCATGTGCAAGGGGTTAGTAGTTGAAGAATGCCTGACTTCTTCTAGGAGCTTCAAGCAGCTGGAGGGCATAGTTTAATAACACAGTGAAGGTTGGGAAATTAGGCTGGAAATATAGGCCCAAGCTATGTCAAGGAAAGCCAGTAGAGGCAAGATTAAGAGCTTGGGTTTTAACCTTTACATGACGGGGAACTGTGGTAACTTCACAGCATGCCTCAACTGTGCCCAACAAGCTCCTGGAATCATACAAGAGACATTTATTGCCCTGGGGACAGGAGGTGGGGAGGAAGACATTTTTGGAAAGTAAAAGAGAGCTAATAATTACAGAGCATGCAGTGTGTGCCACATACCCAGCACTTTATCTTTGCAATTTTATTTATCAGCTCTCTTGGTTGCAGATAATAAACTCTACTGGATAAAAAAAGAAAAGGAGTATAATTGACTAATGCCACAGAAAATTGGAGAAGAAAAGTGCCTTTCCTGGATTCATACAGTTATAAGAGGTGATAGAGTTCATATACAACCCATGTATGTCTGTCTACCTAATCTCCAGGTTCATTTATTTAAATATTCCCACACCAGTGATTCTTTGACCTCATGAAGACTTCCAATCCACTGATCATAACTTTTCACTATGCAATGTGTCATTAGATTAAATGTTATTATATGGAACTCTGGTAGTGTAGTGCCAAAGGCACTTGACTGCTAACCAGAAGGCTGGCAGTTCAAATCCACCAGCCACTCCTCTGAAGGAAAGTTGGGCAATCTACTTCTGTAGTGATGCCACCTCTGAAACCCAAGGTGGGATTGCTATGAGTTGGGTCCGACTCGACGGCACATAACGACAACATATGTAGTATTTTATAGGTATAAAATATTTTGTAAATATAAGGGATGAGAAGCTTTGTTCATGTAATAAATAGAAGAGAATGGAAGAAGTTTGTTGTAGCAATGCCACTCAATTCTTTGAACTCTTTCCATATCAAAAACCACATAGTTGGGAGAAAAAATTTTGCAAATCATATATCTGCTAAAGAGCTTGTATCTAGAGGCT